GGTAGATATTCATAGTTAGTATAACAAAAGTTATATTTTATTATGCTGAGGCCCATCACACAAGGTTCATGTTCACACTCTACTCTGTTGTTCTTAACTGCAGATCTAAGTCTCTCTGTCCCAAGGCTGCTCACCTGTGCAATATATCTTAGCTGGAGGTTAGGTCCAGTCTTTAGCAGTGTTTCTGATTCCAGAGCAGATAGATGTATGATGAGGGTGCTGGTCTTGAGTGAGGATGTCCCTGGGCTCTGATTATCAGATGCAGCTTTGGTCTGTGGGTGCCTTTTTATTTTTATTTATTTATTTATTTATTTATTTATTTTACTATGCTTATTAGAACTGGGAAGGCAGGAGGATCAGGAATTCAGGATCCTTCTTGCCTACATAGAGTTCACAGGCAGACTACTGTCTGTAACCCTGTTTCAGAATAAGGAATGGAAATCTAGAAATCTTTTGTTTGTTTGTTTGTTTTTTGTTTTTCGAGACAGGGTTTCTCTGTGGCTTTGGAGGCTGCCCTGTAACTTGTCCTTGTAGACCAGGCTGGTCTCCAACTCACAGAGATTCCCCCCACCTCTGCCTCCAGAGTGCTGGGATTGAAGGCATGTGCCACCACTGCCTGGCTCTAGAAATCATTTATCCCAAGTGGATTTGTCCTTCTCTTCTTTCTCCCTTTTTTCTTTTCTTTTTTTGTAGGTCTGCTAGGGAATGAGCCCAGGGACTTGGGTACATTCATTCCCAAGTGTTCTTTATGCTACTGTGTGTTTGTACCCACATGCCATAGCATGCCTCTGGTCCCCCAGGATCAAATCCAGGTTGTTAGGTTCAGAGAATATCATTACTCACCGAACCATCTCCATGATCCAGCCCAGCCTCCCCCAGGTCTTTTTGATTAGGCACAAAAAAAAAAAAAAAACCAAGACAAGGAATTCAAGCCAGTGTGGAGAACTCTGGCTTCTTCCAGTTCGCTCGCTCACCACTCCATGCTCTCACCTGCCAACCAGGGCAGAACATCTGGATTTGGGAAGAGGAGTTGCAGGAGGGGGTGGCTGCTAGCCAGCTGGGGAAGCCCTGTAAAATGATCAAGGGAGACTATTTTCTGGCTGGGCCAGGCCTGAGTGAGCCCACATCTCCACAGCTCATTTCTCCTCTTCCTTTTGCTTCACAGAGAGACAGAACCTAGAAGCTAAAACAAATGGTTTCCCAGCTCTAGTCTAGTTATCCTTCATATGAGTCCAGTCACATAGCACCTGAAACCCAGTGAAGGCTGGCCAGGCTCACAGCAGAGCTGCCTTTGTTTATTTTGCTTTAGACAAGGTTTCCTGTGGTGGTGGCTCAAGCTTGCCTGGAGACTCTTGTAATTAAGGCTGGCCTTACACTCTCTTTAAAAAAAAAAAAAAAAAAAAAAAATCAGATCAGGAGGTGATGGTGCACACATGCCTTCATTCCCAGCACTCAGAGGCAGGCAAATCTCTGTGGGTTCAAGGCCAGCCTGGTCTACAGAATGAATTCCAGGACAGTCAGGGCTACAGAGAAACACTGTCTCTGAAAAACAAATATCTTGTTTATATGTGTGTGTCCATGTGTGGATGTGTGCATATGACTGCAGATGCCCACGGATGTGAGAGCTGGAATTATAGGTTATAAGCCCCCCAATGTGGGTCCTGGAAACAGAATTCAAAAGGGTCCTGGGAAGAGCAGTATACACTCTTAAATGCTGAACTGCTTCTCCAGCCCCTGGCCTGGGAATTTTGGTTTTAATTGCTTCTGACTCCCAAGGGCTGGGATTACAGGTGTAGACCACTACATCTTGCTTCCCATCATACCACCTTGCCATGTTGGTGAGCTGCTCCTGGCCACAAAAGTGTGGCCCTTATCTGCCTTGCCTGGTTCTCTAGACAGGTCTTGATTTGATCCTAAAATATGGTATACATGGAGAGTTAATACATTTTGGCTCAGATTTGGGGGATTTAAGATATTATGGTAAGCTGGGCAGTGTTGGCACACTTGGAAGAGGAACTGTGAGTTCGAGGCCAGCTTGGTCTACAGAGTGAGTTCCAGGACAGGCTCCAAAGCAATCTCGGAAAAAAAAAAAAAAAAAAAGAGAGATATTATGGTGATGAGACCTTGTCTCAAAACAAAACAAGATATTATGATGATTTTCTAAGACTAGGAGGCAAGAAGCCAGGTCAGATTAGTCACCAGACTTCTCATCTCCAGGGCCAATGGGCTGGCAGCACAGGGCCAGGTCAGGGAAGAGTCTCAGCTTCAGGCCAGTTCTGAGAAGACTTGCTGGGATTTCAGACAAACTTAACTTGCTGTTAAAGTCTGCATTAGACTCCAGGAATGCTTAGGGCCAACCTGGTTCAGATAGCCTGCTAGTCACTAAACAGCCAAGTACTCAGAATGTACCTCCTGCCCTGGCCAGTGGGTCAGCAGCTAGAGCAACCACACATGAGACAAGCTTGGTGTTGAGTCCAGATGGGTGGCTGGGAAAACAGGGTAGCAGGGGAGGTAGGAACTGGGCCTACTGTGGACAGAGCCCCTCAAGGCCGAAGAGACTGGCAAGTGGAGGAGCTGGGTGTGGGGGATTCTAGCCTGCTCCTGCCCCTCCCCCCGAGGCTGAGTCTTCAGGGCAGACGGCAGGTAAATGCATGACAAAGGTGTGTGATGGCTCTGTCCTGGGGGCAGAGATGGGTGGGGAGGGGCACCTCTAGTCCTACCCTTCCTTAATCTGCCTATGGGGCAGTTCGAGGTTGCCTTGAGAACGCACCTCCTGCCTTACTGTCTGTAGATTTTCGAACTAACCTATGGAAAAGTACTGTAATTAATGTATAGAATTAGGAGGATGAGCAAGAAGCATGGAGCAGACTCAGAAGGAGGGCCAGAGAGACGGCTCCGAGGTGAAGGCTCCTGCCACCCCCAAGCCCCACAACTTGGACTGAGAAGGTAGAAGGAGGGAACCTACACACACACACACACACACACACACACACACACACACACACTCACTCACACACACACTCACACACAGTCTCTCTTAGGATGTAACACTTTTTTTTTTTTTTTTTGAGACAGGGTTAACTAGCTCTTGTAGACCAGGTTGGTCTTGAACTCACAGAGATCCCTCTGCCTCTGCCTCCTGAGTGCTGGGATTAAAGGTGTGCGCCACCAACACCCAGCAATGTAATTTTTAAAAGAGTCTCAGGGAGTTGGGTGTGGTCATTGCTCGTGCTGTCATCCGAGTTATCCCAGCTCTTGAGAGGCTGGGACAACCTAGTAATGATCCTTCTCATAAATAAATGCTGAAGACTGCTGACTACTGATGGGAGACTCCTTAAGGAACACTCAGACCCCCAAAGGCAGCTAGAGCCAACAGCCTCAGGCGGGGCTTGACTTGGAGTAGCCAAATGGAGGTCAGGGCCCAGGCTCAGAACTCTGATCTGGCTGTCTACACTGTGGGGTGCTTTGGCCCAGAGCCTTTTGGGAGCTGTGTGATCCACCCTGGAGTCTTCATTTAGGGCAAGGTGTCAGAGCAGACAGACAAACATCATCCCTTGCAGACAGGCACTCAGAGGGCTATTCTCTTGCAAACATTACTAAGCACCAGGCCAGCATCGGGATCTTGGAGGATTCTCAGGCCAGGCCCAGAAAAATCCCTCTAGGAAAGCTAAAGGTAGGCTTCCTGCACCCCTCCTCCTAATCCTATCCCTTGGCCTCTTTCCGACAGCCAAGACCCCGAAACAAAGGTATCCCTCAGCCTGTGGGACTGGGGGAGGGTAGGCTGAACACCAGAGTCCGGAGAGGAAGGGAGGTTGGGTACCAAGCTGATCTCTGATGCTCAGTCTTTGAGGGATTGGAAAGAGCTCTGAAGAACTCTAAGGGGATCCTTGTGTGAGGGGACTAGGGGTGGGGGGGTTGGGGAGCAGGAAGTTGTCCCCAGGGGAGCCATCCAGGCCCATTCAAGGGTTGAGCACTTGTTTAGGGTTAGAGCTGCCCCCTCTGGGGACCAGGATTGTCCAGCCAAGGCCATTGTCCTGACCCTTCCCCCCAGTCCCTCCCAGGCTTCTTTGAACCAGAAGTCAGTTTTTTTTTTTTTTTTTTTTTTTCCTCTACACACCTACCACCCTTTGGGTTTCTCCACCCAGGAACTAGGCTGGAGGCCTGGGTTGGGGAGGTGGGGGAGGGAGGACTGAGCCTACTGAGGAAGGAGATGCCTAGGTCTTGACTGTGAGGGGACTGTGGGCCTGAGTGCAGGCCTTACAACTGGGGGTGGGTTATGGGGAGCCCCCCGACTGATTAGTTTGTCATTTTGCCTCTAGACAATTTGGGTTGGAAGATGAACGCTCAGAATTCAGAGCCAGTACCTCTATGGGGACTATGGATTTGGGGCTGGGGTGGGTCCCATGGTAAGGAGTCTCTAAGGTCTGGAGGGCTTGGTATGGAGTGCTGCCTTGTCCTGCCGCCTGCCCCCGGAGATAGGGTGGACAACAATATCTAGAACCTAGAATTCTAGAAGGGTGGGCAGGCGGCTAGCGGTGCGCTTGTGTAAGCGAAAGAAATGAGGGGTGGCCCCAGAAATGCTTGGGACATGGCATTCAATAAATGTGGGTGGGCTGCTGTGAGAGGCAGAGAGGGAACCGGGAACCGTAACAAGAGGCTTTGTGGTTGGATGGGAGACACAAGCGCTGCTTCCCTGAGGAATGTGGTGGAGGTGTGGAAGGGATCCTGGTCGGTGTTTGGGGGAGGTGGGGGGGCAAGGTAGGTGTGAGTAGACCTGGAGAGTTGAAAATGAAGGCCCCCTGGGGTCCTGCCCTAAAGGTTGCTCCCTCAGGATGTCCCCAGCCTTCCGCTTCCAGACTCAGGCAAACATCTATCGCCTCAGTTTCTCCCACCCCCATTGCCTACTCCTCCACCCATCCAGGGGGCGGGGCCAGAGGTCAAGGCTAGAGGGTGGGATTGGGGAGGGAGAGGTTTAAACAGTCCCTAGGTGAGCTCTCCGTTGGTCAGGCCCCCGGCTTGGGGTGCCCGCCTTCCCCATGGCTGGACACCTGGCTTCAGACTTTGCCTTCTCACCCCCACCTGGTGGGGGTGATGGGTCAGGAGGGCTGGAGCCAGGCTGGGTGGACCCTCGAACCTGGCTAAGCTTCCAAGGACCACCAGGTGGTCCTGGGATCGGGCCAGGGGTTGGTCCAGGCTCAGAAGTGCTGGGGATTTCCCCTTGTCCCCCACCTTATGAATTCTGTGGAGGGATGGCATACTGTGGACCTCAGGTTGGACTGGGTCTGGTGCCTCAAGTTGGTCTGGAGACTTCGCAGCCTGAGGGCCAGGCAGGAGTGGAGAGTAACTCGGAAGGGTCCTCCCCTGGTCCCTGTAATGCCAGGCCCAGTGTCCCCGTGAAGTTGGAGAAGGTGGAACCAAGTCCCGAAGAGGTAAGTGAGATGGATCTGGGAACGTGGAGGGGATATGGCTGCCCTGGCAGAGGCGGCAGTGAAGGGGACTGGGAGCTTTCCTATCAAAGAAGGGGTTGTGGTGGCTGCCTGTTCCGGAAAAGCAGGGTTTGAACTAGAAGTCAGAGTCGCAGGAATCGGGAACTGGCCTGGATTGTTCCAGCCTGGCCCTTGTCATGTCGGTTGGTTGCTTTCTGGGCCTGGCTGTGCAGCTGTGTTTGGGATTCAGCTGCTCCTCACACTGCACTTCCCGTCTGGGGACATGGATCCCTAGCAGACCCAGGACCTTGGCTTTAGGGTTAAGCATGGCTGGAGGGTGAAAGTGTTGCCTACCCTGGAGTTATTGTTACTCAGAAGCTTGGGTGTGACTGGCTACTGATAGGAGCTCTGGACACAGTAGGGTTGGGTTCACCTCCAGTCAAGTTTACCGCCTGTGCGTCCCCTGCCTTGTGCCTTGGACCCATGTGTGAGCCACCCTTTTACACTAAGTGTAGTGGAGCTGCATGCAGATTTGGCCCATTTCAGCCTGACTTCCTTAAGTTGTAAACAAGAAACCTACACACTCGGGTAGGAGAAGTTAATCTCCATGCCATTTCTAGACCATTCTGTGCGTGGTAGGCTTTGTTGATCAGCTGATAGCCTCCAGCCACCCCTGGAAAGGGGCTGCCACAGATAGATGCTCAGCAACACTGGAAAGCAAGTGTAGGTGATTAGCCATTAAGAAGAGGAGGCGTGAGTAGACACAGATGCCAGCCTGTAGTCCCTATCTCTTAGCAATTAGTGATTATTAGCAATCTTTATTTATTATCTCACGTCCTTTTAGCTATTGGTACTCCCCTAGGAAGGCATTAGTAGTTTTTCTCATGTCTTAGTGGTGTAAATGTAGTTTACCTTATTCCAAATCTACAATATGGGATTTAGAAAAGCTGAAGGCACTTGGTCTTTTGAGGAGCTGTTGGAGTTGAACTCAGTCTGTTTGAACTGATTAAATCTTCTTCCATTGAAACACTTTCCGGAAATGCATTGGGATGCTTCTCGATGGCTGTTGCTCCTGTCCCCTCTCAGTCCTGGACCTTTGCTCTGCCAACCTGCTCTTGTGTCCCCTCTCAGTCCTGGACCTTTGCTCTGCCAACCTGCTCTTGCCCCTCTCCTACCCTCAAGGCTCCTTTTCCATCTTCTGTTAGAGATAGCCTGAAATAACTTCCCGCCATTTTTGTTTTCTGTTCACTCACAGGTTACGTCTGCCCCTTAGAAAGGACACTCAACCAACCAGCCATCTATTCTGCCTTCTCCACCACTGTCTGCCATAGCCTTATTTATTTTGTTTTTCTCATTTGCTTTCCAAGACAGGGTTTCTCTGTAGCTCTGGCTGTCCTGTAACTCGCTCTGTAGACCAGGCTGGCCTCAAACTCAGAGATCCACCTGCTTCTGCCTCCAAGTGCTGGGATCAAAGGCATTCACCACCACCTCCAGGCCTTAACTTTAAAAGAAAACCAAACGTTTGTTGTGTGTGCATGTTTGCCACTGTTAACCTGTGGGTGCATCGGGATTAAACTCATGTTTGTATCGTTAGCACCAAATCCATACTTTATAGGATGTGAGTCCCATTTTGTTTGTTTGGTGAGGTCTCAGCTTCGGAGCCTCATCTGACTGGTTCACTACCATCTTAATTGAAATTGTCACCGGTACAACCTGCTATCCTGCCCTCGCAGCTTTCTCCAGACATAGCACTCCCATTTCTCCTCACACTGGAATGTCAGCTCTTGAGAGCACTGGTCTGCTCTCTGGTGTGTGGATTTGATTTCTAAAGGAGCTGAACGCCGATGGTGTGGGATCCTATTACCCCAGGGCTTGAGAGACCCGGGTCCCTGTTCCAGTATCTCCACTTGTGCTGTGTCATAGTTTGGGAACTTGGAGCTGGGGAGGGCATGGGGATCCAATGGATCTCATGATCTTTGTTTCTCCAGCCCCTGTTTTGAGCTAGGGAACTATCTATGTAGTCCTCTTGCCTGCCTCTTGAGTGTGGGGATTGCATGCTTGCTCTACAGCCCCTGGCTGTTTCTATAGTCTTAAAACTTACTGAAAACTGGGATAATATTTTGCCAATGGGGCTGTTATGGGTAATTTGTTAGCAGATGGGAATTTGCTGGGATACTAGACAATTTGTTGTAATGCATGGAACTCTGGGTCGTGTATGTGATAAGTTGCTGGGAGAAAGGGATAGAGAGGGAATGGCATATAAGCAGACCAGTGGGCAACCTGGGATTGCTGAGATCTTTTCATAGATCACCCCCTGGGTTCCAGGGGTGGAGACTGACAGCTTACTGTATGACTCACACAAGTCCTGTCTCTCACTGCAGTCCCAGGACGTGAAAGCCTTGCAGAAGGAACTAGAGCAATTTGCCAAGCTTCTGAAGCAGAAGAGGATCACCTTGGGGTACACCCAGGCCGACGTGGGGCTCACCCTGGGCGTTCTTTTCGGTGGGTTTCCCCTTAGCATGTTCGACCCCACCACTGTTGCAGCTCGCAGTGTAGGTGCAAGGGGCAGGCGTTTTAGGCGTTACCGCTCCTTCACCCGTGTAGAGGGAGAGAACTAGACACTTGAACTGCCTCTGGGAAGAGGTGCCAGCATTCGAGGAGAAGGGGCCCCTGATGCTCCCTCGCTTTCTTTTTGATCGGTTCCCCAGGGAAGGTGTTCAGCCAGACTACCATCTGCCGCTTCGAGGCCCTGCAGCTCAGCTTCAAGAACATGTGTAAGCTGCGCCCCCTGCTGGAGAAGTGGGTGGAGGAAGCCGACAACAATGAGAACCTTCAGGAGGTGAGGGGCCCTGGCAAGCAAGCACAGTGCCTTCCCGGTGGTACAATCCCGCCTGCTGCTTCCATTCCCTCCTTGAATCTCCCTCTCCAGCTAGAGGCAGCACAGTTCCGTGTCTTGTTATTGGTTTCTTTTTTCCCCTTCTAGTGCTGAGGATTGGAACACAAGGCCTTAGCATTTGTTAATCAGGTTTTCTCTTCCTGGGTCACTCTCATCAGACTAGCAGTCCAAGCCCGATGGTCCCTCTCCCGTCCCTTCCAGGGTTCTTTCATTGTAGTAAGTCCTGGCTCTGGGGCCACATTCAGTCAACACTCCCTTAGAATTAGCTCCCAAGTCATACCTCAGTGTGGGGCTGTTCCCCAGCCAAATCCTAAACCCCTCTCCCCTGCCCAGATATGCAAAGCTGAGACCCTGGTGCAGGCTCGAAAGAGAAAGCGGACGAGCATTGAGAATCGTGTGAGGGGGAATCTGGAGAATATGTTTTTGCAGTGCCCAAAGCCCAGTCTGCAGCAGATCAGCGCCATTGCCGATCAGCTTGGGCTGGAAAAGGATGTGAGTACCCTGTGGTACCCAGATTCTGACCTGTGGTACCTGCCTCCCATTGCCATTCTTTTCCCTACCTCTGGCTCCAGCATCCCTGAACTAAAGTCAGTCTTCTATATTATACATCCTAGGTGGTCCGAGTGTGGTTCTGTAACCGGCGCCAGAAGGGCAAACGATCAAGCACCGACTATACCCAACGAGAAGAGTATGAGGCTGCCGGGTCCCCTTTCCCAGGGGGGCCTGTATCCTTTCCTCTGCCCCCAGGGCCCCATTTCGGTGCTCCAAGCTACGGGAGCCCCCACTTCACCACATTCTACTCTTCAGTCCCTTTTCCTGAGGCTGAGGCCTTAACCTCTGTTCCCATCACTACTACTATGGGCTCTCCCATGCATTCAAACTGAGGCACCAGCCCTGGCTGGGGATGAGGTGAGCTGAGGCAAGTGAAAAGAAATAGAGAACCTGGAGCCATCACAGCTGTGGGGTTAATTAAGTTCCTTTACTGAGGAGGGATCACAAGCATAAAAGGGGTGGGGGAAGATGGAAGTTTCAGTGATGCTGTTGATCGTGAGCCTGTCACTCAACGTTTTGTTTTTAAATAATAAAGCCTGGGACACATTAGGTCACTAAGCTGTGCGTCTTCCTTTAGTTACTATGGAGCCTGGGAATAGAGACCCAGTAATCATTCCTCATACCCAGGCAGTCCTCAAACAGGTGCCATTCAACCTGCTGGAGGTTACAAAAACGCCAAAGGGATACTTGGATTGGAATTCAACCTATAGAGGAAGACATTACATTCCTGCCAAGGCTTTAGATTGATTGCATCTTGCCAGCAGGTGGAATAGTCATTTCATATCCATCAGTCACCAGCAGCTGGCCTTGTGCTTTGCCCATGTTATTCTGAAGTCCTAATGGGCTTAAACTAAAACAAAACAAACAAGAAACCCCATGTCTTTAGAAAAATTTTTTTTTCTCTTCAAAACAGGGGTTCTCTATGTTAACAGAGTCCTGTCTTGGAGCTCACTTTATAGACCAGGATGTCCTCTAAATTCACCACCTGACTCTTGTGCCATCACTGCCTGGCCTAAAATGGTTATTCATGTTTTAATTTTTTTGTTTATTTTGTATGCAGTGTTCTGCTTGCATGTATCCCTGCAGCCCAGAAGAGGGCACCAGATCTCATTACAGATGGTTGTGAGCCACCATGTGGTTGCAGGCAATTGAACTCAGGACCTCTGGAAGAGTAATCAGTGCTCTTAACCACTCAGCCATCTCTCCAGCCCTAACTTGTTATTTTTTAAAATTACAAAACTTTTTTTTTTTTTTTGGTCTGCATGTATGTATGTGCGTCATATGTAAAGTGATGCCTGGAAGAGGGCATTGAATACCCTGGAACTGTAGTTGTAGGTTGTGAGCAGCCAAGTGGGTTCTGGGAACCAGATTTGCCTGGTTCCTCTTACAGAAGCAGCCGTTGCTTTTTTTCCCTGTAGGCAAGGTGTTTCTCTTGTGTAGCCTGGCTATCCTAGAACTCTATAGACCAGGATGGCCTCTACCTTTAGAATGTCGGATTAAAGGCTACCCATGCTTACTGCTGTAAAGCCATCTATTCCCACTTAAAAACCGGGTCTTGAAGCTTTCTTATTTTTGCTGCATGTCGGCCCCACCAGAACCCTACCCTTTGTGGTGTTTCTTCTTGTAGACAGGACCTTATGCAGACCAAACTGGCCTGGAGAACATAGTAATATGCTACCACACTGCACTTTAAAACTGTATGCATGTGTGAGTGCCACAGCATGAGGACAACTTGTGAACATTCTCTCATGTAAAGTGGGTGATGAGGCTTGGCAGCAAGTGCTTTCACACATGGAGCCATCTCATTCCTGGCCGTGTGGTTCCCACAGGTGCTTCTGTGGGGAATTCCATCTGCACACCATACCAAGTCTAGGCTTCCCGTGATTTGGAAAGCAGGCTTAGACTCATAAAAATAACCCCATGTGGATGAAGCAGTTTATTCTTTATTTTGTTATAAAGGTAAGACTCCAAAAAGCCACTCACAGAGACTTAGTGCTAGCCATGGCATAAGGAAGTCCCAGGGTGGATTCCGTGATGGTTGCTCTAGCTGCAGAGATTCAGCTGTCCATGGGGACAAGGCTTGATTCCTTTTAATGCACATTCCAGCTCACTGGTAACTTGAAGGTAGCAACATCTTTGGCAGGAAACCATCTCTTTCTGTCACCTCAGTTGTGAGGGTTCTCCAGCCTTCATCAGTCTATAGCATTGTGGTCATTCCATCCTTTAAGAAAGGAGACATTTCTTAAGATCCATTCTTTTCTTTAAAAAAAAAAAAAAGTGTTCTGTCTGTATGGATGTATGAGTATTTGTGCCTGGTAGCTACAGAGGCCAGGAGAGGTTGCTGGATTCCACGGGACTGCAGTGAGCTGAACATAGGTCCTCTGCGAGAGCAACAAGAGCTCTTGATCACTGAGCCATCACAGCAAACTCAGGTTACTGTGTTTGGTAGTGGGTGGCAGCAAGGGGCTACAAAGGCCCCCCCCATATAATTAGTGTGGGGGTTCTGGGAGTGTTCCTGAGAAATTTGGGTAGCTAACCTGCTTAATCTAGTGTGGGTCAAGTTGGTCTCATACTTGGCAATCCTGTATTCTGCCTCAAATATCAAGTTTTGGGGAATTAACAATGTTTTATGTACATGTCTGGGACTCCAATCCTGGGCAAGTCAGGTGCATGCTATGAAATGTGAGACACTCCTGTGCCACCATCCCCCAAAATTGTTTTGTTTTAGTTTGTATTTTAGCTTCATGCAAATGAGTATTTTTTTGTTAGCGTGAATCTGCTGGGTACCCACAGAGGTCAGAAGAGGACACTGGATCCTTTAGAACTGTAGTGGGTTCTGAGAATTGAGCCTGGGTCCTCTGGAAGATCAGCCAGTGTGCTCTTAACCGCTGAGCCATTTCTCCAGGCTGTTTGTTCTACCCATTTATTCCTCCAAGTAGCTTAACATACATTTAAGGGTGAAAACTAACCCAGAGGTCATCTGTACCCCTCATCCCTACCTTGAAGACTTCTTTCTCAGGCTGTAAAAATGAGTCTAGGGTGTAAGGCACTGGCAAGAGATTAACAGCAAGGACTCAACTTACCCACTAGACACCAGAGCTGCTTTCTCCACACAGAGCTTCTTCCTAGGTTCAGTAAGGACTGATAGAGGGCTCAGGGAAGCCTCATTTTCATCATCCAGCTCTGCCAACACTCTGTGAACCGATTTCCTCCGGTTTCTTGTGGGAGGAGCAGGAGAGGCTCCCACTCCAGGTTGGGTGGCAACAGCCAGGCTTTGTGGTCTTCCCCCACCTCGGGAGAAGGTGAGGGGCTGGGGCTGCAGCTTGCTGAGGCTGCCAATGGAGTTGAGGATCAGTGTGGCCTTGGGGGCAGAGGAGAGTGTGCTGAGTGGCCGCTGGGGTGCCCCCTGAGGGGGCACCATTGGCTGGAAACCAGCCCCAGCTTCTCCCCTAGATCGAGGGACAGTGATGGCCGCAAAGTCCTGAGGTTTGACCCGGACTTGTTGGAACATGAAGTAGAATTCAGAGGAGCTGGTTCCTGCTTGCCCTTCGGGGCCAAAGGTCAGAAGGTCACCATCGCTCAATTCCAGCCTGTGGCCTCTTGGGAGTCGGATGTTATTGACCAACGTCCCTATTGATGGTGAGGCAGAAACAAATGTCTGGTGAGAGGTACCATGACCTGGCAATTTGGGTTTTAGGGGAGCATGGCAGGGTGGGACATTAAACTTGAGGCCAGTACAAATGGACAGCTTCCTCACTATGTCCCTGCTTTTTTTTTTTTTTTTTTTTTTTTTTTTTTTGAGAAAGGGTTTCAATGTGTACCCCTAGCTGTCCTGTCCTGGAACTCGCTCTTGTAGACTAGGCTGGCCTCAAACTCACAGAGATCCCCTTGCCTCTGGCTCCTGAGTGCTGGGACTAAAAGCCTGTGCCAGCACTGCCACCAGCTCTGGCTCTGTCTTGAGCAGATCTACCACTAATCGACCCGGGCTTTCATCTCTTTTAAGACCGAGTCCTAGTTTGGCCCAGAACTCAGTCCTGCCTCAGCCTCTGAAGTGCTGAGCTCACAGTGTACACAAACCACTCACTGCTCCTGTCATTGTTGACTGTAGACTGTTGACTGTATCCGCTCCACCTACATTTAACACTATAGGACTTAGTAGGAAACTAAGGAGAACTGTGAACGCCAGGCATTTTGGCTGCCTTGAGCTAGGACGGAAGGCCTAGGTCAGTAGAACACCGCTTTAATGGGAACAAGGTGCTTCAGCAAATCTGGACACTGAGCCAAGTCTAAGCTCAATACTAACTAGAACATTCCACTTGGCACTTGACTGATGACACCCCAGCGCCTCCCTCCTATCCCTTTGTGAGCTAAAGCAGCTGGGCAGGTTAGTCCTGCACAGCTTTGATGGGCAGGCCAGGGTGGGATCCTGCTTATCTGTTGCCCCAGAGATTGACAGGGACTCTGGGAGGCAGGTAGTGGGGTCCCAGAGGCTGTCCTCATGCCAACCGGGGCTGCCTGTTCACTGCTTACCTTGGCTGCTGTGGTCCTCCAGGCTGACCCGCCAGTTGTCCCCTTGAAGCTCAGCATGCAGCAATGCATGTACCCCAGAGATGAGGCCCGGCTCCTGCTGGGGCCGCAGGGCCACATCACACAGGTCAGCCCTGCAGCCCAACCGATAGGTGCAGCCTGACCTGGATGGGGGGTGGAAGGTGTAGAGATCACCGCCCCTGCCGCCCCCTATGCGCAGCAGCTGGAAGCAGGGCAGCATGGAGGGTGCCCCCTCTGCACCACTTGTCCCACCTCAGCAGTTCATTGCCTCCTACTTTGCCATGCACTGTGGGCTTCGGTTCAGTTCTGTCTGACGTCAGCAGCTGTACTGTGGGTGATGCCAACTTGGGAAACACAGATTTTCAAGAGTGCCAGAGGCCTGAAAGTGCATGCAACGCGGTAGCTGCTGTGGAGATGAGACTTAAAAAAATTTCAGGAAAGTCTCGATGCGATGCAAAACCAGGAAGGCGACCTGCGGGGACTCAGTGAAGCCGGATCCTTAGGCCCCAGAACATGCGGGGAGGCTGTAACAATCTGTTCAAGGAAAAGCTGCTTTAAGCGGCAGCTGGGGATACGCCGGCGGGGTGAGAAGGTCTTGCTACAGGGACGTGTGTGCGACACGAACCTGTGTAACCTGGAGCCGGGAGGGAAGCCTGCGGTCAAACTTCCTAATCCAGGTGGAGCACCCCTTCTGTCCTCCCCCGTGGGAAGGGAATCCGCTGTCACCTACAAGGGGCGGGGCAGACAGGTCCCTAACTGCAACGAAGTGGAGCTCACCGTTTCCTTTTGTGCTTGCAGGGTGCACCAGGAAGGGACTCAACACCCTGCGCCCCTCGCTCCTGCAGAGGTTTGACAGCCAGGAAGCCGCCTTCCGGAGGGCGCGGCGCTGGCGGGCGGGCGCGCGCGCGCGCCCCGCAGACTCCTCCTTCGGAATTCCCGGGTCCAACTTCGCGCCTGCAAGCCCGCCCCCCCAGTCTGGCTCTGATTGGCTGGCTGACTCACCCACCTCCGCTCTACTGGACGATGCACAGGGAGGAGCTGTCCATCTCCCGCCCTCCGCCGTTTCTGATTGGCTTACACGTTTTCCCGGGTTCCTGGGGTGGGCAGGGGCCGCCAGGGCGCGGAGAAGGCCTGAGGCGTCATTGTGCCTGCGAGCCCCGTTCTTCTTTCTTCCTCCTTCCGGCATGCAGGGGTTGTTGAGGCTTTCGTGAAGCCCGCCAACCCACCCGCAGAGCGCGCATGCGTACTCAGGGCGTGAAGCCTAGTCAGGGAGCTAGGTGCTAAGGGGCGTGGCAAGAGGGCGGATCTCGCGCTGGGTAAGGGGCGTTCTAACAGAGTCGGTTGGGGGCGGAAAGGGTTCTGAGAGGGGGTGCTAGGGTGGGTGGAGGGGTCCATAGGGGAAGAGGGGTGCAGGAGCCCAATAAAAGAACAGATGAGGGGGTCGGGGCAGCTTTACAGCTCAGGGTCCTGAAGGGGGTGGGGGGGATGAGCCAGGGGTTTGTGCAGGAGAGGAGATGAGAGACCGAGGACAGGGACCGACCTGGATCATTACGTCAAGAAAAATGCAGACTAGGACTAGGAAGAGAAGCGGGTAGGAATCTCGTTGTTGAGTCAAACAAACAAACACATTTGAGTTCGGATGGGAGTTGGACAAAGAAGATGCTGTAGGACTTGGAATAGAGAAGGTCTTCGAGAATGGAAGCAGAGGGGATAGAGACACTGAGGCCCGCTGCAGGGAGACTCAGATGAGATAGATAGCAGGAAGCTGGCTGCTCAGCAACGGCTCTGGGCTGCTTGGATTCCTCAGGGATCCTAGGGAAGCCGCTTAACCCTTTATGTGGTTTCATTCATCTGGGGCCAGGTCTTGGGCTAACGCTTTAATAGGAAATGACCCAGAAATCATGGCTCGCTGGTGCCTAGATGGGCTTCCCAATGCCCCTACTACACCATGGCGAGATGTATGGAGACTGTGCTCCCTACCAGACCTCTCACCTCCAGCCCTTAGCTGCAGGGACCATAGACACTTAAGGAGGAAGGTAAAGGCACCACCCACAATCCTGTAGTAGAAGCAATCCCCAAGAGCACCCCCCTGGCTCCCATCTCCTTACAATTACCCCATGGTTGTTGCCTGGTTTGTGGTCAGGAGCGTGGTCAGGACAAGCAAGTGGTTTGGTTATTGTCTGCCTTGTTAGGGAAATGGGGAAAGAGACGCTCAGAGCTGGGTAGATCTGTCAGTAACTGAAGGCTTATGACTTTGTTATTATAGGACTTTCTCTTTGGAAAGTGTCCTGAAAACTGAGTTGGAGTGTTCTTGTTTCTCATATTGTCCAGGGAAACGTGCACGCTTGGGGACAAGATCTAGAGACTTCAGGTAGCGTGGAGATGTTGCCACCTTCAGGTCAGTGAGGCCAGTCAAGGAGGCCGTGGATCTCCTCTCTCTCTCTCTCTCTCTCTCTCTGTCTCTCTGAGAAGCTGACAGTCTTTACTTTTGTGACCCCCCTCAGGTTTTGCTGGACTGGTTCCTCCCTCCCACTTCCAAGCTCGGCCCCTTCCAACTCTGCGCAGAATGGCCCCGACCTGGGCTTCAGACATTCCCCTGGTCCAATCCAGGGCTGGCCAAGATGTCCTAAAGAGGCGACTGGACGCTCAGAGGCCTTCAGTGACCATATGGGAACAGGATGTTGGTGGAGATGGGCAGGGGCCAGGGCGGAGAGACAGGTAGGGCTCTGTCAATCACTTTTTCTCAGACTCGATGATGATCCTTTATACACACATCCCTTTATTTCAGCAGCCCCTGGTTCCATAATTTGTGTGGTTTTCTGTAGGCCATTGTTGGTACCTACATTGCATGTACCAGTATGCACCTGGGCTAACAAAAACAGCAAAAAAAGCTCTGGGCTTAAATTCCCAGGTAACAAATGTGGCTAGAGTTTTTCTTCCCCACCCGGTCCTGCTGCCACTTCGACCCCAAATAAACACATGGATGCTATATTAATTATAAAACTATTGGATGATGGCTAGGGCCTCTTACTGGCTAGCTCTGTCTTAAATTATGTATTTCCACATGGTCTTGACTTACTGGAGAATGCCCAGACCTGTTACTCCTTTGGTGGCTACATGGCATCTCCTTGCAGTGTCTCTGTCCCCAGCATTCTCCTTGTCTCCTAATCCCGCCTATCTTCCTACTTCTACTGGCTATTGGCCAAACAGTGTTTTATTCGTCAACCAATAAGGGAAACATGTATACAGAAGCTCATCTCCTCTTTTCTGTCTAAATAAAAAGGAAGGTTTTAACTTTAACATAGTCTCAAATGAAACAACAAAGAAGTCTCTAGTTAACACTTGGTGCCAGAAGCTCAGTCCCTGCCCCTTCGCTGCCCTAAACTGGAAATCCAGATGTCTCTGAACATTCTTCTGACCCTTGCACTGGGAATGTTTACTTCCTCTGTGCATGCTTGATGTTTAATCTGTCTGCTTACAAATGGCTCTCTGGAGAGGTTGTGTTCCTCACTGGGTCTCACAAGCCCTTAGGTCCCCTGAGCCCAGAAAGTGATGATGGTGTGAATGCGGATGGAGATCCTCCTGCCTCAGTTTTAGCCCCTGCTTCCCCACATAAAGTAGAGGGTTATTAATTCTCTTTGCTGTCTCCACCTTCCTGCTGGTACCGGGGACGCATCTCACCTGTGCTCAACTGCCTTTGAAGGTCTTTGGAGCTGGGGGTCTCCAATGCCTTGAGCCAGCAGGCCGAGCTGATCTCTCGGCAGCTCCAAGAGTTGCGGAGGCTGGAGGAGGAGGTCCGGACACTACGGGAGACCTCCCTGCAACAGAAGATGAGGTTGGAGGCTCAGGCCATGGAGTTAGACGCTCTTGCTGTAGCAGAGAAGGCTGGCCAAGCTGAGGCTGAGGGCCTGCGTGCTGCCTTAGCTGGAGCTGAGATGATCCGGAAGAACCTGGAGGAGGGGAACCAGAGGGAGCTGCAGGAGATTCAGAGTCTGCACCAAGAGCAGGTGAACCTGGGGTGAGAGGGGCTTAGAAATGTATCAGGGTGCACTTTCCAGCAAATTGCACAGAGCCATGGGATCTTGGAGGGAGAACTTGGGTATTTTGTTCTTCCTTGGGCTGCACTTGTTTTTTGGGAGCCATGGGAGTGTGCACCATTTGAAACTCTCCGGAAGTATTTCTCCCTATTCAGTACCAAGTACTCTTGTGGGAATATGGTGGAGGGAGTGGGGAAGGGGAGTATGGGTCCTGGGGAAGACTGGGAAGGGTAGAACGTCCAGTCAGAATGCCCAGTGCTTCTCTTTGCCGTCCTTGAGGTCTGAGCTGGCTGGGGATTGATTGAGTGACCAAGTTGCCTGAGTCTCTTCTCATGAGTGGAGTTACAGCCCAGTGTAGGACATGCCCAATTGTGGCCATAGCCAGTTGCAGCTGGGAAAGTGCCAAAGGGTTCAAGAGCAGTAATGTGGTCTGGGGACAGGAAGGGCCACCAGAGGCGATGGAGAGGTCGGGAAGGGAGGCTATAAACTTGAGTGTCTTGTTTATAATATTGCCCTGTGAGTCATCACTGAGAAGGCTCTCTGAATTTGTTGCTTCACTAAGCAAACACCCTGCTTTGATGTTTGATAACCCGTATAATTGATAGCATGTTCAGAAGTCGACTCTATAGTCATTGTGAGTGAGATGAACGGCTGATAGTTTGACAGATGACAAATAACCAGTGGAAGGTTTTAAGAAACTGGGAATGTAGTTCAGCAGTAGAGTGCTTGCCTGGTGTGCACAAGGCTATAGGTTCAGCCCCAGTGTCCCTGGAAAAGGTTTTTTTTTTTTTTGGTTGTTGTTTTGTTGTTGAGTCAGGGTCTCGCTCTGTGGCTCTGACTGGCCTGGAATTCACAGGTCCTCCTGCTTTTGCCTCCCAAGTGCTGGGGTTAAAGGTGTGCACCACCTCATCAGACTCCAGGGGGAAAAAAGGGCATGGGAAATAACACAACCAGTTTTGTATTTTATGTCTAAAAAGACTCATACTTGTAGAGACGGAGCTGGCAGGAGGAAGCAGGGCAGACACTTTACCCTTGACTTCTGGCACTGCCTGGGGTCTAGTGAGAAAGCCCTCTCTCCCTAGAGCATCCTCGAGCACGTGGTGAAGTAGGGTCAGAGAGCTACAGGCAGGGAACGGATGAGAGGCCTTCCTGAGGGCGGGACAGTGCCTGCACAAGGGGAGCAGGGAGAGCCTCAGAGAGAGGTTGGGAATTATTGGCAGCAGGCTTGGTGGCTATGGCAAGGCCGTTTTGGGGGGTGGGGATATTAATGTATGGCCTTGTTATATATATCCCTGGCTGGCCTTGAACTCCTGACCCTACTCCCCAAGCAACTGGAATGTCTTAAGGTTTCTTTCCTTTCCTTTTTAAAAAAATTTAATGTATTTATTATGTATACAGTGCTCTGCCTGTATGTGTACCTTCAGGCCAGAAGGGGGCACCAGATCTTCTTATGGATGGTTGTGAGCTTTCATGTGGTTGCTGGGAATTGAACCCAGGACCTCTGGAAGACTCTTAACCCCTGAGTCATCTCTCCAGCTCTATTGCTGCCATAAAGTACCATGACAAAAAGCATCATGGGAAGGAGAGGGTGGGTTTGGTTTGCACATCCCTGGCCACAGTCTACTGAGGGAAACTGAGGCAGGAACCCGGAGGCAGGAACTGGAGCAGAGGCCAAGGAGGGACACTGCTTACTGGCTTGCTCCTCACCTACCTAGGGGTGGCACCACCCCACTGTGGGCTGAGCCCTCACACATCAATCATTAACCCAGAAAATGCCCTATAGACTTGCCTATAGAATAGTCTGATGAATACATTTTTCTCAACTGAGGTTCCGCTCCCCAAAAACTCTAGCTTGACAGCCTGGTAGTGGTGGCACACACCTTTAATCCCAGCACTCCGGAGGCAGAGGCAGGCAGATCTCTGAATTTGAGGCCAGCCCGGTTGGCAGAGAGAGTTCCAGGACAGCCAGGACTGTTACACAGAGAAACCCTGTCTCGAAAAACAAAACAAAAATTTAGCTTGTGTCAAGTTGACCAAAAACTAACCAGCACATGGAGCATAGGCATTTGCCACCACCATGCTCAGCACCACTGAAGGGTTCGTGTACATTTGGGTGTGGGTATATGTGGGTGAGGGTATGAGTGTGCTTAGCACAGGTGTGGGTCCTCACGTACCTTTTGTCTGAGACAGGGTCTTTATTGGCCTGTAACTAACACGTAGGCCAGACTAGCTAGCCTGGAAGCTTCAGGGGTCTGACCATGTCTCCTCCCGTCTTACAGGGTTGGGTGACTACAGGCATACTCAGCTTTTTATGTAGATTGTAGGGAATCCCAACTCAGGTCCTCACGCTAGTGAAGCAACCGACACAGCCATTTTCCCAGCCCACAAACACTCAGGCATGGGGTGGCATGGTTTACTTGGGCTGTTAGCAGTAGACACAGAGAGGCAGGAATTGATGAATGTTTGAAACTAACCAGGAAGAATCAGATGCTGAGAATTCTCCATTTGCTTATAGCTGGTGATCTGTTGGGTGGCTCTCAAGCTGGGGTGAGCCTTAAAGATTTATTTTTGTTTAGGTGTGTTGTGTTGGTGAGTGTGCACCGTGTGTGTATGTGTTTGTGTTATGTTGTGTGTTGTGTTGGTGTGTACCACATGTGTGTTGCCATGTGCACAGTGTGTGTATATGGGGTGGGGGGGAGAAGGCCAGAGCCAGAAGAGGATAGTGGGTCCTCTGAACGGCCATCTGTGGATGCTGAGAACTGAGTCCTGGAAGAGCAGGATACACTCTTGCCTGCCAAGCCCCTTAAGCAGTCTTCCCTGAATGTGCTCCTCCTCTGCAGCTGTCCTCCCTGACCCAAGCCCACCAGATGGCTCTTGCCACTCTGACCAGCAAGGCTGAGTGCTTGGAGAAGTCCCTGAGTGCCCTGGAAATGAAACGGGCAGGGGAAACCAAACAGCTGACCATGGCCCAGAAGGAGGCAGAGCTACTTCGGAGTCAACTGAGGTCAGCAGGCAGGGGCAGCAGGGCAGGGCCAGGCAGGTGGGGGCATCTGGGCCGTTCCACTGAGGACTGTCCCCTTTCTGCTTGTACCCTACCTAGTAAGACTCAGGAAGAGCTGGAAGCTCAGGTGATGTTGGTCGAAAGTCTGAGGAAGTACGTGGGGGAACAAGTCCCTCCTGAGGTGCATAAGCAGGCATGGGAGCCGGAACGGAAGGAGCTTCTAGACACGGTGCAGGTGGGCATCAGGGAGTGGCCTGGGAGGAGAGAACACAGCTCCCAGGAAGAGAGGTCATGCAGTTGCTCGGCTCACGGGGCTTAGACTGCCTGGGCTTAGACCTGGGTATAGCAAGGAGATCCTGACTGACCAAGTTCTTCCCAGTGCTTGAAGGAGGACCGGGCTGACCTTCAGGCCACCATTGAGTTGCTGCAGGTTCGGGTACAGAGCCTCACACACATGCTTGCCCTGCAGGAAGAGGAGCTGACCAGGAAGGTAGGACCCCTCATCCGCCAGACCCTGCAGGCCTGCTACAAGGGTTTCCCTCGGCATGTGTGCGCGCCTGTCTGTGCCCAAACCTGTTACGGTCTCTTTCCTCCAAAACCTCACTTCCTACCCACCACAATAGGTCAGGAACAACAAAGGTCACCCCTTCCTGCTTCCTCAGAAGTACCTTCTCCCCCTTCCGGCCTTCAGATTCTGCCTTCAGATGTCCTGGAGCCCGAGTATCCTAAGAAGTGCCAGTTGCTGCTGCGTCGATGGCGGGAGAAGGTGTTTGTCCTCATGGTACAGCTCAAGGCCCAGGACCTGGAGCACAGAGACTCCATGAAGGGGCTGAGGGACCAGGTCAGGGGCTCTGTTTATCATTATTCTGCACTCAGCCCCACAATGGTGGTGCTTATTCTTTGGGCAGTTGCCACACATCCTCATGAACTTCCTAGTTCTGAAGGAAGGCGAACCAATAAGTAGGACAATGGGTAATGTCAACCGAGACTGAAGTGGATAGGTAGGATGGCCAGGGATGGCTTCTGAGGAGGTGACAGCATCCATCAGGGCATGGCATAGTCAAGGGTCAGGATGGTTTCTCAAAGTGCAGCAGCCATGGGTTGGAAAGACGAGCTGGGCCGTTTGCAAGCTCCTGCAGCTGGTCACCACCCGCTTGGCTGCCTCACCCTCAGACTGCTGTGCTGTGCTGTGCTTTCTCTGTGTAGTCTTGGCTGTCCTGGAACTCACTCTGTAGACCAGGCTGGCTTTGAACTCAACAGAGAGAGATTATTCACTTGCCTCTGCCTCCCAAGTGCAGGGAGTAAAGGTATATACCACTGCTCAGCTTTCTTCCCTTTTTATTTTTTCTTCTTCTTTTGTTTTGTTTTGTTTTTCGAGACAGGATTTCACTGTGTATCCCTAGTTGTCCTAGAATTCGCTCTGTAGACCAGTCTGGCCTTAAACTCAGAGATCTGGGGCTGGAGAGAGATGGCTCAGTGGTTAAAAGCACTGGATGCTCTTCCAGAGGATCCAGGTTCAATACCCAGTACCCACATTGCAGCTCACAAGTGTCTGTAACTCCAATGCCAGGCAATCTGACACCTTCACCCAGACATACATGCAGGCAAAACACCAGTGCACATAAAGTAAGATTTTAAAAGAGAGAGACAAGAACAGAGCTACATCTGTTTCTGCCTCCCATGTGCTGGGATTAAAGGCAGGCGTGTGCTGTCACTGCCTGACTTCATTATTTGTTTGTTTGTTTGTTTGTTTGTTTTTGACGATGGGCATAGTGGCACACGACTTTAATCCCAGCACTTAGGGAAGCAGAGGCAGATCTCTCTGAGTTCGAGGCCAGCCTGGTCTCCACAGTGAGTTCCAGGACAGCCAAAGCTACATAGTAAGACCCTGTCTTGCCGGGGCTGGGGGTTGGGGTGTATTTATTTTATTTTGTGTGTAGGAATGTTTTGACTGTGTGTGTGTATGTATATGTACTGTGTGCCCATGGAAGTCAGAACGTGTTGGCTGCCCTGGAACTGGAATTACACAGGGTTTGAGCCATGGTGAGGGTAGAGGGAATTGAACCCAGGTCCTCTGCAAGAATAACCAGTGTCTCTAGCCCTACTTCAGAGATTCCGCTCTGTCTCCTTCACTCTCCGGCTTCGGCTTTAGACTTCCCTGTCCAGCTCCCTCTGCTCCTCTAGGTAGCAGAGCTCCAGGAACAAGTGACGGCCCAGAGCCTTGAGCAGGCCATCTTGCAGCGAGCCCTACAAGACAAAGCCGCGGAGCTGGAGGTGGAGCAGATGAGCACCAAGGTGTGAGTCGGGAGACTAGAGGGAGGGTGAAGAAGACTCTGGCTGCGCCAGGGTCCCTGGGCCAGCCACCAGGGAGGAAGGAAGCTTAAAAGAAAACATGCGCACGCTCACACACACACAAAACTGCATCCTCCCAGACCCTGCAGATGGAGCTGAATCGGGCTCTGGAAGCCAGACGGCGGCAGGAGCAACTGGCAGCTTCTGCCGAGGAGCAGCTGAAGTTAGTAGTCAGCGCAATGAACAGGTATCTTCCAGGGGGGGAGGGGGGGATCAGAGGGAGTGGTGGTGGTGGAGGCCGCTTCCCTAGCTTCTGGCAACCCGAAGAGCCTTAGGCGGGAGGGGCTGGAGGTGCAGAGGGAGAGGGAGCACCTCTATCCCGCTGTGTCTCCCACTGTGAACCTGAATCCTGCTCCCTGCAGTTCAGGCTAGCAGCTTTTGAAGCCAAGTAGGGCAGCTGGGCGGAGCCAAGGCTGCACAGCTCAGTGACGGGACCTCGAGGGTCCAAACCCCCTCTCTCCCTCCCTTCTTTCCTGTGCACTTACGCCCTGTTTAGTTGGGAAAGCATCTAAATTGTACAGCCAGGTTGGTCTATAGCTCAATGGAGCATGTGCCTGGCATTCAGGAATTCCTGGTTTCCATCCCTAGCACAGAAGGGAAAAAAAAAAAAAAAGATGAAACTTTAAAACCTGCAGAGATAATCAGACTAGATGGAAAAGAGCCACTGCCCAGATTCAAAGCATTGCACACCAAGTACCTTCTGCCTCCAGGAGGACTGATGGACCAGGCTGACCTCAAAGTCACAGAGATCCACCTGCCTGTGCCTTGGGTGCTGCAAGTAAAGGAGTGTGCCACCACCGAGGGACCAGCTTCAGCTGGATGCTTTTACCTGATGGTCACTAAAGCTTAAGCATTTAAGTTTTTAAAGATGTACTAAGGAGCTTGATTGACCTGCTGTGACCTGCAAGGTCTGCCAAGGTCTTGTCCCTCCTGGTGGCTTCTGTTCCCCTCTACAGCCCACCTACTGCCTCATGTGATGGACAGTGCAGGACAGATGTGCCCTGTGCACACACCCTGCAGGTCCTTCAGACATGACGAGGGGAGGGTGGAGGGTGAGTGACCTGTGCCTTTTCAGCACTCAGAACAACCTCCATAGCACCATGACCAGGGTGAATCAGGCTGTAGCCCGCATTCCCAGCCTCAGCAACCGACTCAGCTATGCCGTCCGCAAGGTCCATACCATTAAGGGTGGGTATAGCAATTGTCCCCCCCCCCTTGCCTGGCCTCCTTCCTCTTCCTCGTAGCCCTGGATCTAACCCCACGTCTATCCTCTGTTGCCCTGTGCTCCTGCTGTCCTTCTGTCCATGTGTTCCCATCTTCCTGACTTTTGCCTTTCCTCCTCAGGTTTGATGGCTCGAAAACTGTCCCTCGTTCAGCTGCGCCTGGAAAGGTGAAGTTCAAGCACACAGAGGTGGAGGGTGTATGGATGTTGAGGGCAATCTGGTATTGGTTACTGGGACTCAGAGAGGACCAAGGAGGGATAGAGGCACTGCTCAGGGCGCTGCGGAGGGAATTTCCTCTGACTTTTTCACCATGTCTGTCCCAGCTGTCCCCCACCCCCACCTGCACGCCCACCGGACGCAGATCTGAGCCTTGAGTTGGAGCAGCTACGGGAAGAACGGAACCGCTTGGATGCTGAGCTGCAGCTGAGCGCCCACCTTATCCAGCAGGAGGTGGGCCGGGCACGGGAGCAAGGTATGCCTGCCTGCCTGGATGGGTGGATGGATGGAGCTGGGGAAGACTTGGGGTCTGAGGCTCAGGTGCAGGAGAACTTCCTTTTAGGGGAGGCAGAACGCCAACAGCTGAACGAGGTGGCCCAGCAGCTGGAGCAGGAGCTGCAGCGTGCCCAGGAGTCCCTGGCCAGCGTGGGGCAGCAGCTGGAGGCAGCCCGCCAGGGGCAGCAGGAGAGTACCGAGGAAGCTGCCAACCTCCGGCAGGAGCTGACGCAGCAACAGAAGATCTACGGGCAAGGTGTGGGAGCGTGTGGGAGCGAGCATGGTGGTGCGTGCGTGGCGGTGCATGCCAGCCTGCAGGACGGGCAGCTCACCCTGATAATGCCTTGTACCCTCACTGCAGCTCTGCAAGAGAAGGTGGCCGAGGTGGAAACTCGGCTGCGGGAACAGCTCTCAGACACAAAGAGGAGGCTGAATGAGGCTCGGAGGGAGCAGGCCAAGGCTGGTAAGATGTGCTGGGGAGGACTTTGCCCTTCCGCCCTTCCAGGAAGGAAGCGGCAGAGACCTAAGGCTGTTAGTCCCATCCCACCCCAGACAGACACTGAACACTTGGATAAGGGAGGGTCCGTGCAGTCAACACCCCTCTCTCTTACCTATGCCCATGGTTACATGGGTAGACATTTGAGTCATGTAAGTTGCAGACATGACGGTTCAGCTGCACACCCCACAGACACACTCCAGTGTCATAAGATCACGCTTGCCTATCATCCCAGCACTTGAGAGTAAGAGGCAGGATAGTTTAAGGCCAGCCTGGGTGGGCTACATATTGAGGCCTGGCTCAAAACAACAGTAGCACAGATCACATGAGGATCTGTTAGTTACAGGACCTCTAACTCCAGGCCCAGTCCAGGTCTTGCCTAAGGAACTGGAATCAGAGATGAGAAGGCACCTGGGGTTCACAGAGCCCAGGATCCCCTGGCATCAGTCGGCATGTGGTGTGCAAGAGACCCTGAGAACCAGAGCTGAGAACCTGATCTCGCTTTCTGGGCTCTGGGCTGACCCACTCCTATCTCTTTAGTGGTTTCCTTGCGCCAGATCCAGCACAAAGCCACCCGGGAAAAGGAGCGGAACCAGGAGCTCAGACGCCTTCAGGATGAAGCCCGGAAGGAGGAGGGGCAGCGGCTAGCCCGGCGAGTAAAGGAGCTGGAGAGGGACAAAAACCTCATGCTGGTAGGGGCCGCGGGGAGCAAGGTCATGGTACTGGTGGGTGAGTAAAGGTGTGGATAGGTGGGGGCGGTGCACATGGCCGGGGCGGGGTGGGGCGGGGCGTCGCGGCTGACCCTCTCCTCCCCAGGCCACCCTGAAGCAGGAGGGTCTCCTCTCCCGTTACAAGCAGCAGCGGCTGTTGACAGTGCTTCCCTTGGGAATGGATAAGAAACCTGTGGGGTGCAGCCCCCAGCCTGTAGAGTCTCCAGAACACAAGTCGCCAGCAGCTGCACCATCCAGGGAATCTGTTAAAGGTGATTACACCCACATGCCCCCACGCTGTCGCCGCCACAGCGTACCCAGGAACCTCCCTCAGGCCCTCCCAGCCTTTGCAACCCTTTGCCCTGGGCAGCACAGAGCCTGCCCTTTCTTACCCTGAAGTGTCTTCTGTATCAGGGTCCCTGACTGTCCTGTTCGACAATCTGCAAGGCCTGAGCGAGGCCATTTCCAGAGAGGAGGCTATTTATCCAGAAGATAACCAGAACATTCGGTGCGATAACCAGAACATTCGGTGCCCTTCCTCAGACCACTGCTGAGCAGGAGCCCAGGAGCCAGACCCCCACCAACACACACACACCAGGAGGGTTGGATTGGGAAGATGCGGAGCAGGGACCATTCCAGCCTGTTCCCCAGCAAGCCTTGGGGCCCTAGCTTCCACTAAGGTTGAATTCCTCAATAAATAAAGATGGCTGTAGTGGAGCTGTTGCTTGGAGGTATCTGGGAGCCTGGGGCTCTCCCTGAAGGCAGCTCCTGAGGCTGTGGGGCACAGAGAAGCATGTCCTCCCACTCCACCCTTCCCCTGAGTGGTACCCCCTCCCTAACTGCTCTGGAAGTGTTTTGAGAAACTCCTAGGTTTGGGGTTTTTGGTTGGTTTTGTTTTGACTTTTGAGACAGGGTCTCCTGGTATCCCTGGCGCTCACTATGTATGTAGATCATTCTGGCCTCGATCTCAGAGATTCACCTGCCTCTGCCTCCCAAGTGCTGGCATGTGTCACGGCTACCTGGACCAAGTTTTCTTTACTTTCACTTTTTGTTTTAGAATTATTTTCTTTGGGTGATGACATGGGTGGCATGGGGTGGGGGGGATGGCAGGCTCAGTGGTTCAGGGCAGAGGATGCTAAGCAGAGTTGGATTTTACTCCAAAGCTGCTCCGAATTGTGTTGTAAAGGGATTTGGGGTGGTCTGGAGAGATGGCTCTGGGGTTAAGAACCCTGGCTTCACTGGTTGATAGTGGCGCACGCCTTTAGCTCCAGCACTCAGGAGGCAAAGGCAGGCGGATCTCTGAGTTCAAGGCCAGCCTGGTCTACAGAGCGAATGTGGTTCTTTTTTTACAGTTATATATTAAAGTTGGAGAAAGGTAGAGAAGGGGGTGGGGTGGGGTCCCAAGTTAAGGGAGCACGTGGAAGAGCATAGCAGGTTCCACAACAGGTGAGGGTGACCGACAGAGCTTGAGTGAGACCTTTCTTTATAAAGGGGAGTGAAGGGAAAGGTAAAGGCACATAGAGGCACTGGGAACAGAAGAGAAGAGAGAGAGAGAGGCGAGGAGAGAAGCCAGGAAAAGACAGCAAGAAGCAAATAGCAAAGAAAGCAAAGTGGGTGGAGGGGTGGGGGGTGGGGGGTATGTCTTTTAAAGGAGTCCTTTGCACCTGCGTGCAGAATACAAAACCAAGGAACCCTGGACTGACCAGGGCACTGCCTGAGTGCATTCTGCCAGATGGCAGGGGCAGGCCAGCATGATGCCTGAATCCTTACAGCGAGTTCCAGGAGAGCTAAAGCTACACAGATAATGTCTGTCTCCAACCTTCTCCTCCCCCAAAAAAGAACACTGGCTGCTCATCCGGAGAACCTGGGGCACTCATGTGGGAGCTCCCAACCATCCCAACGCCCATGGCAAAACACCAATACACATAAAATAAAAAACCACACATGCACATTTTAAAAAGTCTTTGGGTGTTGAGTGGGAGTAAGGAGAGAGAGTAACAGTGGGTTAAAATCTTGGGAGTCTGAGGGTCAAGATGTGGCCCCAAGAGTGCTCTGGGAACTGTGCTTGAAAGTGAAGATGCAATAACCAAACAGACCAGGTGGAGAATAAAGTGTGTGGGGGATGGAGTTGTTCTTCAGGAGTCTCTCATGGGTGGTGAGAGGGTTGAGGGACCCAGGGCCCTGGTGCTGAGGAAGGAAAAAGAAACCAGATTACATGGTGGGTGGGGGTGCGTCTTCCTAAGCCTTTGGGGTTGATGCAATCCTCTCTGCATGGGGTCAGGAACCAGGATATCCTGGCTTCTAGTCACACAGGTGGCTCCCCGTGGAATTCCTTAGATGTCACTGTCTGGGAGGTCCTTGTGTAGCTGAAGAGACAGGCCTGGTCCAGAGGGAAGTGGGGGAGGGGGAGCTCCAAGGCTGTGATGCCAGTCTAGGGGGTACTAGCTGACCCAGGCGTCCTGCCTCCTGTAATTACCAAGCTTCCCCACGCAGGGTTTGCCCCCATTTTGTGGCATCCAATAACAGGGATGAAAGGTGGCCTTCCCTGTGATTACGGAGATGACAGGTGGGTACTGAAGGCTGCCTGCCGGGTGTGGATGGAAGAGGTGTGAAAACAGGGGTGGGGCCTTCTGGGGTCTGGATCATTGATAGGGAGACCTGGCTGATGATCTGGGCTGGGGGACTGAAGAGTTGTTCCGGGCAGGTTCTTTGTAAACGGGTCTGACCAGTTGGACTCTGCTTGGGATTCCTCACAGTCACTTGGCTGGCCCCTCCCCACAGACTGGCCACCTCCTCTTGCTCCTCTACTATAAATTTAAAGCCTGTCGGGTTCTCTGGCACCTAGACTTAGAGCACCCCACCGTGGGGGCTGGTAAACAGCCATAATGCTCAACTGGAAGCTGCTGGGGCTCCTGGTCCTTTGCCTGTGTGCCGGAGGTAAGCCGGAAGAGGCCGGGAGCACAGCTCGGGTGATGGAGAGAATCAAATGGCTCACCCTTAGGGAGGGGACCCCCCCCCCCAGGGAGGGAAGGAGTAAATGGAATGAGGAGTGGAAGGGATTCTGGGTGGGTCATTAGCGGGGAAGCCCTGGGAAGGCCTGCAGGGGCAGCTTGATCCTGAATATGTTGCGAGGTCAGGTGGAGGGATGGGATGACAGGAGTTTGAGCGTGTGGAGTCACTGGGACAGGGGTCTATGTTGAGGACTGGTTTTATATAACAGATGGGGGTCTGAGTGCAGTGTGGGGCCAAGACCACCTTGGGTGCAGACCAGCCTGGGGGCAGTTCCGGTGGGGTATTCCAACCTAGGTTGGACAGAGCCATTTGGAGGCTCGATCGATCGTGTGGGTGGTTCTGATGAGCTCAGGGCTTTTACTGAAGATGGTATTCGGGAAATGTATGGGGAGCTCTCTGGGGAGGTCCGTCCTGGGGCCAGCTCAGGCTGTGCTGATGTGAGGGAGGCTCAGCCTTGGGGTCTGAAGCTGGGGGAGGAGTGGTCTGTGACTGCATCGCTTTTCCTTCCTCCTCTACAGGCATCTCAGGCAGTGGAGACCCCTCTCCCAGACCCACAGAAGCCCAAGAAGAGGACGACTCCCCAGCATTGCCTCTGGGCCCCCCAATCCCTGGTGACCCGTGGCCAGGGGTACCTCCTATCTTTGATGAACCTCCACCTCCAGGCCCCAACCGTCCCTGGAGAGACCTGCCTAATGCTGGGGTCTGGCCCCCAGAGCCCCCTAGCACTGATCCCCCTCATCCTCCTCTGCCGGATGACCCCTGGCCAGCAGGAACACAGCCCCCAGAAAACCCCTGGCCACCTGCCCCTGAGATGGACCATGAACAGCAAGAGGAGCCTGACCTTGACCCACCCCAGGAAGAGTACAGATAGGGAGGGGACCCAGGGAATTTGAGCATCCTCAGGGCACACTCAAGCCCACCTCTTTCCTCTGGTGGCCCCTCGGAATCTCAGTTTTCCCCTCCTAAGTCTCTGATTGGATTGTGTTCAGGTGTCTATTGTCCGCTTCCCTCTCCTTCACCTTGAGGTCTGTATTCAGCCCCTCATGGTCAGAATAATATAAAGCACACTCCTACCTCACCCAACCTGTTCCTGCTTCCTCTTCCCAGGGTGTCTGGACCTCAACCTCCAGGGAGGGTATGAGCACTATGCTCCCTACTGCCACCTGGTGGCCTTAGCTGGGAAATGGCAGTTGACCGGGATGGTGCTTCCAATGGGACAATAAAAGCCAGGTTTTCTGTACTTCTGAATCTAAGTTGCTTCCTCCTCCTCCTCCTCTTTTTCTTTCCCCCTGAGAAAGGGTTTCTCTGTGTGACAGCCCTGACTGTACTGGAACTCACTTTGTAGATCAGGCTGACTTAGAACTCACTGAGGATCCTCCTGCGTGTGCTACCACCACCCGACTTTAAGATGCATTTTCAATGAAAGTTTTGTTTTTAGTGTCTAGTCAATATTTTTAGCTTTAATATTTGTTTTATGATTGTTGTATTATGAATTTGGTGCTGAATAACTATTTAATACCCACAAGTCATATGAATTGGCTGTGGTGATGCACATCTGTAAGCCTGGCTCCTGGGAAGGGAAGACAGAAAGTTCAGCAGTTCAAGGTCATCCTCAACAACACATCGAGTTAGATGCCATCTGGGATACATGAAACACTGGATCAAACAAACAAACAAAAAAACGGTGGGGGTCTATGTGGTTCAATTGGTAGAGTGTTTGCCTAGCAAGTACAAGGCTCTAGGTTCCGTTCATCCGTTCACAGCCACATAAAAAGTTTGAGGACAGTCTGAGATTCATGAGAGCGTCAGAGATATAAGAAACAGGAAAATCAAGAAAGAAATACAATGAGAGTAGTAGATTGGTGCCTCATCATCATCATCATCAGAGAGCTTTCCTCTGGCAGCTGATGGGAGCAGGTGCAGAGAGACCCACAACTAAACATCAGGTGGAGAGAAAGCCCAAATGGAGAACTCCACTGAGCCCTTTCCTTGGTGTTCAGGGAACCCCGTGGAAGATGGGGAGTAAGAGTTGTGGGAGTCAGAGGGGTTGAGAGCACTAAGAAAACTGGCCCACAGAATCAATATAGCAGGGCTCATAGGGGCTCACAGAGCCTGCGAGGGTCTGAGCTAGGTCCTCTTCATGTTATGTTTGTTAGCTTGCCGTCTTAAGGCTCCTAGTCGGTGGCCTCATCCAGCCTTGGCATGAGGCTTTGTGCCTAGTCTCATTGTAACTTGCTATGCTATGTTAGGTTGATATCCCTGGGAGGCCTGCTCTTTTCTGAGAGGGAACAGAGGAGGACGGGTCTGGGGAAGAGGGGAGGTGTGTGTGGCCTAAACTGGGAGGAGTGGAAAGAGGGCAAACTGCAGATGGGATATATTGTGTGAGAGAAGAATTTAAAAACAAAACCACTGAAGGGAAGCTAAAGAAAAAGGTAAAAGATGATTTCATACTGGCTAAGAGGCTTGCGAGCAGGACTGGAGGGATGGCTCAGCGATTAAGAGCACCGGATACTTTTGGAAAGGACTAGGGTCCATCCCCAGCACCCTACATAGTGACTACAACTGCCTGTAGATTCAGGTTAACTGACGCCCGCCCTCTTATGTTCTCTATGGGTACTGCACGCATAGGGTACACATACATGCAAGCAGGCAAACCACTCACACATAAAATTTCAGACAGAAATGAAAGTCAGGGTTTGTATCTTATCTCCTATCTTTAAAAGGGTTTTGTGACATTTTGTGTTGTTTTGTCTCTCCAGTCTTAGCTGTCCTGGGACTTGCTTTGAAGACCAGGCTGGCCTTGAATTTGCAGACATATGCCTGCCTCTGCCTCCTGAATGCTGGGATTAAAGAAGGCATGTGCTACCATGCCTGGCTCCCCCCATCCCCTCCACTTTTGAGGTAGAGTCTCACTATCTGGCCCAGGCAAGCTTCCAGTGTGCTGGGTATTTTTACTTCAACTTGATACAAGTGTCTGAAATGACGGAACTTCAACTGAGAAAATGCCTCCATGAGGTATAGTTGTAAGACATTTTTTAATTAGTGAAAGGGGAGGCCCTAGGCGGTTGTGAGTGGCGCCACCCCTGGGCTGGTGATCCTGGATTCTATAAGACCGAAGATGCAACAAACCAGTAAGCAGCACCCTCCATGGCCTCTGCCTCAGCTCCTGCCTCCAGGTTCCTGCCCTGTATGAGTTCCTGTCCTAACTTCCTCCCATGATGGGCCAATGAGGGTCAGATAAACACTTTCCTCCCTAACTTGCTTTTGTTCATTTTGTTTGATCTCAGCAATAGAAACCCTAGCTGGGACACAGCCTGCTTCAGTCTCCCAAGGGTTGGGATTAAGGGAGCATTAAAGTTCAAAGGGCAAAGGGCAGAGCCATAGATCCCTGCCATCTGGTATCAGTCCAGGGAGTGCTGACCAGACTAGGGGTTGAAGAGAATCTAAAAGAAGTTGAAACTTGTGGCATTAAAATCTTTAATTTTTATACCTCTAAACAGTGTGATGACTCACATCTGTAACCCCAACATTTGGGAGGCTGAGGCAGAAGGATAAAGAGCCAGGTTCAAGACCATCTTGGGCTACATGAGAGCTCAGGGGGAAAAAATTACCCATAGGGTTTCAGTTAGCTTTTGTTTTTGTCAACTTGAAATGAACTAGAGTCATTTGGAAAGAGGAAAAGCTCCTCTGATAGAGTGCCTCCATCAGATTAGCATGTAGGCAAGTCTGTGTGAGACAATTTTTTTTTTTTTTTTTTTTTTTTTTGATTAATGATTGATGTGGGAGGGCTCAGTCCACTGTGGGCTTTGCCACCCTGGGCAGGTGGTTCTGGGTTGTGTAAAAAAGCAGGCAGAGGCCAGGCGTTGGTGGCACACACCTTTAATCCCAGCACTCGGGAGGGAGAGGCAGGCGGATCTCTGTGAGTTCGAGGCCAGCCTGGTCTACAGAGGGAGTTCCAGGACAGCTCCAAAGCAATACAGAGAAACACTGTCTGGAAAACAACAAAACAAAACAAAAGGCTGGTGGCACCCGCCTTTAGTCAACCAGGAGGCAGAAGCAGGTGGATCTCTGAGTTCAAGGCCAGCCAGGTCTACAGAGTGAGTTCCAGGGCAAAGAAAGAATCCCTGTCTCAAAAAAGAAAAACAAAAACTTAAACAAGTTAAAATCTGAAAAACAAAACAAAAAAGGATTAAAACCTGATTTTCCCCATCGGGAACTTGGAGAGACAGGATTTGCATTCCAGGTTTAGTAACTGACAGTAAGGATTCAGACAACTAAATGGCTGTGTAAGTCCCAAAGCCAGGTCCTTGCAGGGACACCATGAGTTCAGGGGAGTCACAGCAGCGGGTCAGGTCGGAATAGTCACAGCAGGAAGCCATGGCAGGACCTGGAGCAAGAGAGGCCTGAGTAGGAGGATCCCCAAAGCTTAAACCAGAGCCTCAGGCATGCGCAGTGCAGACAAAGAAGCTGCTCAATGTTCTGTGCCCTCACTTGACTCGGGTTGCTGTCCTAGCGGGTCCCAGGGAACACTGTCCTGGGTGAGAGAGAGGGGTAGGGTCTGGGAGAGGACAGTGACTCCTGAGGTCATGCAGGAGACAGTTACCAGAAGTGTGGTGGATGATGCGCCAACAACTCTAGATTTGAATACTAGTACACTACACCCATTTGGGAGCACCTGAGGCACACCCCAGCCCCTGAGCTGTCCTGCATCCTTATGCATGATTTTTAAAAAGATTTATTTACTTTTATGTGTATGTATGAATGTGTGGAAATTTTGTCTGCATGTATGTATTCGTACCCTGTACATGCTTGGTACCCCGGGGAGGGGGGTGGAAAGGCATGAGATCCCTGAAACTAAAGTTATAGAGAATTATGAGCCACCGTATAGGTGTTAGGAATCGAACCCAGGTTCTCTGGAAGAGCAGCCATCTCTCCAGCCCCATAACTCATATCTTACAAATAGCTGAATTCACCAACAAAGGGCAAGAGAGTGGATTGAAATGGTAGCTGGGAAGACTTTGTAACCAACCTGTGAGACAGGTACTGTTGGGCAGACTGAGGATGTTACTGAAGACCTTGATGCCAGGCGCAAGTTCTCTGCTCTCCTCCCTTCCCCTCTCTCCCCTCTCTCCTCTGCCTCCTCTCCTCTCCCCTTCTCTCCTCTCTACCCTGTTTATTCATTCTTTTTTTAATTCTTTCTTTTTTTTCTGGAGACAAGTTCTGTCTACACAGCCCTGGCTGTCCAGAAACTGCTATGTAGACCAGGCCGGCCTAGAACTCACAGAGATCCACCTGCCTCTGCCTCCCAAGGACTGGGAGTAAAGGTGTGTGTCAGTATGTCCTGCCGTTTCTTCCTGTTTGCATTTCTGAAACTCTTTCTGCATCTCCTGAGCATTAAGGTTATAGGTGGTCTCCACAATGCCCGCTTATACCCTAGGGATCTAGCCCAGGCCTTTGTGTATATCAGGCCATTGAATCTAGGAGTTACACAGGCCAACAAATCCACTGTCAGGGTTACATTCCCGGCCTCCACCTCAACCTCTTTTTTTCCTTTTTTTTTTTTTTTAAGCAAGGGCTCATGTAGCCCAGGCTGTCCTGGAACTCTGGGTTTTGCAAGTACTAAGATTATAATGTGCCAACTTCCCTGCTCTTCAGACTTTCCAGGGAAGATTTCTTTTCACTGAGGAACATTCTCAGCCCATTGGGGGAATAAAAACAAATACTAACCTCTTGCAAGGGAGAGGGATTAAAGGAATGAAATAGCTCTGCAGGCCCTGATGTGGCTCAGTTAAAGAATAAGGAAAGAGGGCTCTCAAGGTTCCCATTTGATCCTGTTCTGCTGGTTTCTATGTCTTTTCTTTTTTACTAAACCTGGGTTCCTAAGCCAGGCGGCGGTGGTGCACGCTTTTGATTTGGGAGGCAGGTGTCAGGAGTTCCTGACCAGCCTGGTCTACAGAGTGAGTTTCAGGCCAGCCAGGGCTACACAGAGAAAACCCTGTCTGAAAAAAACAAAAAGAAAGAAAACAACCACAAAAAG